TGGTCGGTAAACCGAACCTAAGTGGGGGAGGATGTAACGGGGTCACATGAGAGTGACCTGTCACTCTCCCAAGGGAGCTGTGGTGTGGCATACATCACAGCTACTAGATGGGTACATGCATTAGGGAGCACCTATAAATATATTCAGTCTTAAAACTACCTAAATTTGGTCAACGTTCCTCTGACCAAGGATCTGTGAACTGCCGTTCACTTAGAGTTTGTATACTCTTGGAAGTCAACCTTCCTCTGTGCAAGGTGCCGTGTGACCCGTCACACATAAGGACCTCCCTATGAGTACATGTTACTCATCGGCCATGAGTCAACTCAAGTAACGAGAAATGTACGATACTCACCCATACTCACCCATCTCATGGGTAATTACCCAATACTCATCCGGTCTGTACCTTAGTTCGCTTACTAGTATGCCACACGACACTAATGCCATCCTGCTATAATATTCACTTACGTTTTATACGCAAGATAGGGTCGAATGTAGTGACAGTGTGGACAACCTACTATACCCTCGAAAAAATGGAAGTCGAGGACCTGTCTCTCAATCTGTAGAGGCGCTCTTTCAAATGTACGCATCAGCATTCCAGATTGTGAGTTGTCGCAGTGGAGAAGTCGTACTTTGTAATATGGCTTCTCAACTCTGTCACAGTGCTCTAAAATAAAACACGGTTTATCAATACAAAATGTTTGCCAAGCATTCAAAGCATCAATATCGATCACACATCTACGCGCTAAATATAATCACCTATTAGCTCTACATATCTGGTATGAAGTATCTTGTCAGCATCATAGTCGTAGCAGACGGATGCTTCAATGATTTTGTCTTATCCGATAATCTTGTGCATATTTATTACTCGTTTAAGTCTATCTACATGATGTAAGGAACGACCACAAAGGGGACGCCCAATTTCTTGATACTTTGCTTACGCCAAACGACTTAAGGAAGTAGCTAGTGCAATTGTTCCGAGACCCATATTCCTCATCGTATCAATAAGTCGCACTTCAGAAAGTCCTGGATCATTTCCACTGTTGCCATAGACTGCAGGTGCAACCAGTGTGTTAGAACTCACTGTACTCTCTGCCGAACGTGTAGGCGCCGATCCAAAATCAAAGCCTGGATGACTAGTGTACGGTTGAATCTGGTCATCCCCTATGGCGGATGATGCAAGCCGTGGCAGAGGCCAGTCGTCGATAATGTGTCGAATCGAATCTGCATTACGCGACTGGAACCTCGTCAAAAGGTTTCGAGCCCCTTCGATCGAGAGATCAGGTAGCTTGCGTAGTGCGGCAGCCTCCACCAATCGCATTAATTCAGCAAACGTCATCAAGACACCCAACTCTGCCCGAGCTACCACAACTCGCATAATTCCTGCTTCATCACTCGGGTGAAAATACCCGTTTGTACCTTTGTCCTTTCCACTCTGGGCCCGCTTCTTTACTCGTCGATGTAAAGCCGCAAAATGCACGCCAAACAACTTGGCAGCTGCTCGCAGGCTCATTCCTTGTTGCTCAACAGCAGCGATGGCTTTCTCCCACGTTACGGCCGGCACCGTGTGACTCAGCTTGTAACCGCGATTGTCGTTTATTAATGTTGTAGATGGCACCATGTCGTGTATCCTGTCACCATTACTATCGTAACTATTTTCACTGTGTTGAATGTGAGGCGTCATCAAGCTGATACTAGGTCCAAGGCCGGACCCCACTTCATTGCTCCTGCTCTGACAGCTCCTTTGACCCATTGCCGTTCGGGGTTCTTTCCCGCTACTTCCTTCAGACTGCATTACCTCGTGTGTCGCTTTCAGTTGACTGACAGGTATCGACCATGTCGTCGCTCGACGACGGTCTTCTACGAGCATGGCACGACGCTGCTGTTGTTGTAGATGATGTTGATGACGCTGACCAAAACTGTGTCGTAACTTTACCTGACGCTTCAAATAGCCATCGAACGAAACACGACATTCTGGGAAGATCATGGAATACATAACCATGCGAGTCGATTCCGACGTTCGTGCTCCAACACATTCTTCGCTCTTTCTCATCTCCTTCTCATCGTCACTCAAGTTGCCACTTCTTAAATCGTTGTCCGTAGTCTGCACCATATCTGCTTGCGAAATTCTGTCATGCTTTTCATTTGCATTATTAGACATTCTGCTTAAATTTAAAATGCTTGTGGTTGTGCGAGATTTATGACTCGATACAAGCGCCATATTTTGTCGTGCTGGGCGCTCAGCTTCGATTGTCGCCTTGGTTTTATGACTGAGGTTTCCACCACTAGATACAACATTCAACGCAAAATTACTGAGCTGCATGAAGCCATGTATTCGCTTAAACTCAAGCACCCATCGCGAGGAAGGAAAGTCAAGTGGAAGCGTAACAGTGCCACCTTGACTGGCCACGGCACGCACTACTGATCGCACATCGTCGGAAGTCACATGCTTTTGACAACAAAGCTGCTTCTTAAGTAATTGCAACACTGTTTTCTCGCTTGCTTCACTAAGATAGCATCGCACCGTTGCGGCCGAATTAATTCGCATTCGGCGCGGCGATTCAGAAATTATTATCCCGCTCGAGATAGATACTGCAGAAGTGTGTATAAAAAACGCAAGTAGGACGACCGGGAAGCGTCAAAGGGAAGAAATTACGTATAAACACAAGTTCAACAAATAAAGGCGTGAGTATTGTATTTAACAGATGGACAAGCAATTTCTATTCTTTACCTCGGACAGCGTACAACTAGCTCGCCAGAAACTGAATGGTTGGTGCAACCTTTCAGGTTGCAAAGAAGAACAGAATCGAATTCGTTTACCTCTATCCCTACAGCGGCGCAGGTAAAGCTTTGTTTCGTGTATTTATTTCGTTTTAATCGATGCAGCGATCGGGATAGCAGATCGGAACAAGGGACACCAAAAAATGACCGTTTATTGAAAATCATAATATTTCTAATTATTTTTAGTATCTTTTATCTTAACAAAAAGATGCGTGAGTTTCAAAATTTATACTATATTACCAGCTTTGTCTCACCTGATGAATCGCTCGACTCGATCCCACCATCAATCAATTAACCTCGCTACAGCATAGAGTTGTTCTATGATGAGGAACTGTTAAAATTTAAAGGTCACATAGACAAGAGCCCTTGGTAGGGCGCCCCTTCGGTGTCACCATCCGCTTCGATTTTGCATCTAAAAGGCCTTTCCTAGTGCTGTTTTGCAGAATCCCGCGATTAACACGCATCCCTCGTTATCATTTTTGAGCATATCAAAAAGCAAGTGACGGTCAAAGAATATTACGCCTTAAGGAACTTTTCGTAACTCGTTCGAAAAGTATGCCTTAGGTGGACAACTCAGAATAATTTACAGGATATTCTTTAACTTGGTTATAATATTGCCCTTTTCAAGCAAGTTTATTTTCATCTGGTACATTGTCACTAAATGTAATGTATTATACCTATCTGAATATTCTTATATATGAGAGGCTCAAAAATGTCTATGCATAGCTCAAAGTAGATCTGCCATCTTAGATTTCCGTTCTATGTGCCCGTGCGATAAGCTCAAGTTGCAAGAACTTCATGCTTGCGCATGAGTTATAGTATCAGATGCCTCTGACCTATTCTGTCGTCTGTTGATGGGTAGTTGCCAATCAAAATAAGCCACGACAGCAGAATGGATGCTCATTCTGGGTATGAAAATGCAAGACAACTGATCTTCATCACGCGTTTTTATATCGAGATTTGCAAACATATTACAATCGAGCTGATGTCTAAGCGTAATCAGAGCTGATGTCTAAGCGTAATCTTTGTATTTTTGAAAACCAGTGCTTCATCGATAAACGAAACAACGACAAGTATGGATGAGCCAAAATTAGTCTGTCGAATAAACGCAACTTTCACTTTTTCTTGCATGCTCTTAAAAAAAGCGCTTACCATTTGACATAAGTCGAGCACCAACATATTCAGAAGCACAACAATGCATCATTTTTTACAGTTTACTTACGACGTGGGCACTGATTTAGTTCCATCACTGCTACCTCGCAAATGCAACTGATCTCGTCCAAGCTTTTTAAGAACATCTGGGACATGTACACAACATTCCCTAGAAATTATTAAAAATCGAAAACAATCCGACCGAAATAAAACACGATTCCATCGTGACAGCGCAGGTCTCTCTTGTACAATGGTGTCAAAGTCCCACACTGCATCCCCTATGACTATGCGTCGTTATCTTAGCAAGATGAGCGAGTTTAAGGTGTTGCGCCTACTGACTGAGCAGTTGCAACGTCAGAAACACGTCACGTCCGACGACGTGCGGCTAGCGGTACGTGCCGTAGCCAGTAGAGGGGGCACAGTGTCACTTCCACCCGAATTTCCACCATCGCACTGGGTGCTGGACTTCAAACGTAAGCACGGTTTCTTACAGCTAAATACCTTTGCATCCACTGCAACATTTGTTTCTCAAAGCACTGGATCTGACATTATGGTGAAGACCGTGTTAACATTATCTGAGCGTCAGGACGCGTCCCAAGTCCCAGCAGTCAAGAGAAATAAAACAAGTCCAATTATCTGCTGTAATGATGGTTATGGTAGATACGCTGACAGATCAAGTGGCTGTGTGACACAACTGAAAAAAAATCTAATCGGGAACGTGTTCAACGGGGAGAAGGATTCGGATTTCCATATGGACAGTGCCAAATCCAAATCCTCCAACTCTACTCGCACGGTTTTATATACCATGAAGTCTTCGAATCTTTTTGCACCAAGCGACGGTAAGATGAAGCAGCAGGTGCAGTTGCGACAGAACTTTAGTCGTCATCGTCGTCAACACAATCTACACCAGCAGCTGCGCCGTGCCATTCTCGTGGAGGACCGTCGACGAGCAACAGCATGGTCAAAACCAAAGAGTGATATCAAAACGCATCACGAGGCGGTGCAATCATATGGCAGTCGCGGCGGGAAACTCGGAGGAGCGATGAAAACTAAGAATGATCTGACCAGTCACAATGATGGCAGGTCCAGCGTTGCACCAAGTGTCAACTTGATAACTCATCATATTGAACACATCGACAGTACTATCGATGTGGATGGAATGCAAGATATGGTGTCCAATGCATCATCTTCAAGTGATAGTCGCAATTACAAATTGAGCCACACAGTCCCTGCTGAGACGTGGGAGCAAGCAATTGCGGCGGTGGAGCAACAGGGCATGAGTCTGCGGGCTGCCGCCAAGTTATTTGGTGTACATTTTGCAGCGCTGCATCGACGTGTGAAAAAGCGGACGCAGACTTGCCACGACAATGGCACAAATCGGTATTTTCATCCAAGTGATGAAGCAGGAATAATGCGTGTAGTGGTTGCTCGAGCGGAGTTGGGGGTCTTAATGACGTTTGCCGAGTTAATGCGGCTCGTAGAGGCCCTTGCACTGCGCAAACTTCCGAATATCTCGATCAATTCAGCATGGGAGCTGTTGACTCGCTTTCAAACTCGCAACGAGCAGTCGATTCGACATATCATCGATGACTGGCCTCTGTCTTGGCCAGCAGGAAGACCCTCGTCGTCTTCTTCTGCTAGTATGCATCATTTTTATCAGCAATACATGGAGCACCCGAATATTGTTCTTCAGCCATCAAAAGTTAATCATTCGAGTCGTGTGGCGTTGGCTGCTGCAGCCATGACGCGTTTGATCGTCCCAACCACTTGCCTGCCATCAACTGATGATAGTCAAGAGGAGATGATGTAGCTACAAGTGGCCATGGCATCCATTGACCGCCGAATGAATCGTGGTCATGGTTGGTCTTTCGATAAAAAAATTTCGGGAACTTAAGAGGATCGGTTAACGTGTTGGTAGTCCGTGATACTTCATATCTGATATGACAATCTACGGCATACGTGCGAGCATATATCATTATAATTCAAACCTGTCGAGTTACTCGCAAGACCAAGTAAAACAGAAAACTTGTTAAGAAAAATATATACAGAGAGTGGTTCAATTTGGAAGATCCGGGGTCCGCTTATGCGTCTGACTTGGAAGTCTCGTCTGTCTACCTTGCAGAAATATGGTCTGATAACATTTTGGCGTGGAACTACTTAACTCTGCGATCCTTTATGTCCTTCCGCGTAAATGCGGGTAGACTACAGGACTTAAGCAAAACGTTGTTAATTTCATGCTTAATCTTTGATGTCATGCTAGCCTGCCAAAAGCTATACTCTAATCTTTATCTTGATGGATAAATTAAATTTAAAATGAAATCATTTATCGAAGGTTTATTGCCCTTCCTGAATCGAAGGATCCATTTCGCTCAATCTAGTAATGACTGACTTCATCGCCAAGGAACAAGCTGCGTACCCGGATATTGCACAGCGCTACCAGGCGCTCGAGAACCTGCACGTCCGCAAGTAGGTTACTACTTGAATAAATGGCATTCGTTTACTGATGATCCTGACTGTATTTCGGCCAGACTTTATCATGAGCTAACTGGCGAACTTGAGGCTTTTGTGCGCGATCCCATGTGCCACAAATACCCACTGAACCTGCCTAAGTTGTATCACGAGTTCATCCAGCCTATTCAAGACAAGCTCAATCCGATTCGACTCGTCGTCATATGTTCTGAGATCAGTGCCCAATTCGCTGATGCTGCGAAGGCACAGGAGTTTATGGAGCAATTGCTGGGCCAGCTAAGCGAAAAGACTGCGCATGAGGCTGTTTTGTTGTGCAAAATGCAGATTGCACAGCTAAAATTTTGTCGTGGTGCTGAGTTCTTACCCGAAGTCAAGGCTACGGTGGATGATGACAAGCCAGTGATTGAAGCACTCGTGGGTGCAGAACCTGTAGTTCATGCGGCCTATTATCGAGTTGCTTGCGACTACTATGGAGCGTTGGGTCCAGCAGACAAATTTTACAAGAACGCACTCATGTTCTTGGCTTACACTCAATATAATGAGATGCGTCCGGATCAGCGTTTCGATTTGGCTGTTAATATTAGTATTGCAGCTCTTACTGGTGATGGCGTCTTTAACTTTGGTGAAGTGGTAAGACTGCGATGTTTTAATGAAGTTTCAAAAAGTTGTGATGGTCATCGTATGTGAAATTGATTTTCTTAGTTAGCGACACCGATTTTGCGCGCGTTGGAAGGCACAGACAAGCAATGGTTGTCGGACCTACTGCATGCATTTAATAAGGGCGACATTGATCGGTTTAATGAGATTGTCGGCCAAAATAGCAAGGAATTTAATTCGCAACCGGCACTTGTGAGTAAGCAAGAGTATGTGAAGGAGAAAGTCGCGCTTTTGGCTTTGATGGTGCTGGTGTTTCAACGTCCGTCACATGAACGTAACATTTCGTTTCACGAGATTGCTGAAATAACACGCTTGCCACTGAAGCAGGTTGAGTGGCTCGTGATGCGTGCACTGTCATGCAAGCTCATCAAAGGATCCATTGACCAGGTAGATGGCATCGTGCGTGTCACATGGGTTCAGCCGCGCGTGCTAGATAATTCACAGCTACAGGAGCTCGTAACTCGCCTAGATGGCTGGGAAAAAAAGGTGAACTCGACCTTGTTGTACGTGGAGGAACAAACCCCGGAGCTATTTCAGTAGGTTATTAATCCACGCAATACACAACGAAAATTTGCGACTGAGGGCAATTGTATTGGTAGCACCTACGTAAAACTTGTTTGATCTAAAGTAAGAAATTTGCGCATTCTGTTCGGGGTGATCAAACTGAAGTTCGCGGATTCTATGACTGTAGGTAAATGCTAGTTATTCATGTAGCTGTTAAATAATTACTCCAGTATTAGGGAATATTCCATAGGTGACACACTTTGAAAATTTGACCAGACGTCACACGTTTAAGAAAATAAAAAAATACCAAGTGTATACTAATTCAAGTATACAATAGAACCTGTCTAAATTGAACCTGTTTGAATTGAACAGAAGATATGGACCTATCTTTTGTTCAATTTAGAGTGGGTTTTAAATTAAACAGGTTTAATTTAGACAGGTTCTACTGTACATGTGTATATAAACCTAACTACACATGTGGACCCATGTTGGGCACAATACAGTAGAACCTGTCTAAACTAAACCTGTTTAATTTAAAACCCTCTCTAAATTAAACACTGTCCCCAGTCCCAACATGTTTAATTTAGACAGGTTTCACTGTATACCTTTTTGCGCGGGGCGACTCACTGGGGAAGAAATGAGTTATGTTGAGCCACAGGGAGGCATAGGTCAACAGGGCCCAGCCCCGAAGTGATCCGTGCTCTTGAACACGAAACGTGTATGCGAGCCGGGCTTGCTGGTCGTGGAAGCGACCGTGAAGGACTTCGAGAAGTCAGGGAAGATCCTAATCGATTTCGAGGCGTCGGGCAATTATGCTCGACGT